AGGCTCTATCTATAATTTATTTATTAGTTACTCAAATCCTTGGAGGCAGGAATTATACCTTACTTAGGGCAAAGGGTTTGACTCCTGATAGGTCCTCAATAAAACTTTGTTGAGCAAACGAATGAAAGAATGAAGGCCATGGGTGTGAAAACACTTTGTAAATGGTCAGACCTATACAAACATGAAGGACTGTCATTCTCTCCTCCCCCTCCCAAAGCAAACAATTTCGGAAGAAACAGCAGTGACGCTGACGCCCACTAAACACTTCAGCTCAGAGTCAAAGATCATGAGAATTTACTTTACAGAAAAGAATTCACCTGTAAAGGGGACAATTTTAATGTACTTTTTTGGGGGTTCTTCTTGGCTATTTCAATGACTCAGAAATTACTTTTCATAAGCAGTTCAGTGACTTCCCTTGGCTCTTAAGAGGAAAACCAAAATCTTTGATAGGGCATACAGGGTCTCACCAGGTTTGGTCTCTAATTGCCTCATCAGCCTCCTCTCCTACCCCCTTTCCTTCAATGGGTGCTACAGCCACACTGGCATTTAGTTTCCTGAAAGGACTATGCTCTCTCTGAGCACCAAAGCTTCAGACATATTGGTCTTTCCACCTGGAAAAATCTCCCACTCTTGTCTAGTGAATGCCTATCATCCTTGAGGGCACAGATACAAGGTCTCCCTCCCACAGCCACCCTCCTTGGCCTCTCAAGCTAGTTTGTTGCACACTCTCACAGCAGAGCCGCGCTTCTCCTTCACAGCTCTCTGCCTTTACAATAATAGAACTGCCTGTGGGATTGCTTTCTTATTATTTATCTCCTCCTGTGTAAAGTTCCTAAGGGCAAGGACTGTGTTCCATTTGGTTCAGTATATTTTATGTAGTCTCAGTACCAAGTTATAATGTCAAGCACATATTAGAAGCTCAGGGAATGTTTGTTGGTTGAATGAAATGAAATGTTGATGTTAGTTAAATGGGAACCATTATATCTTTGTATCTTGTCTTGAATTTTTCAAAATAATGCTGCCTTACTCAGACAAAAATAAAGTTTCTGGGTATTGGAAACTGAAATCCCATATACTATGACAGGAATCTAAATGATTTACCTGATAGGACCAAAATTATGACTTAAAATTACCAGTGTAAACTTATTTTTTATGTCTTTATTTATTGAGAACCTAAAGATTTTCCCTCTTAAGTCAGCCTGTTACCCACTATCAAATTGTGGATATGAGTGCCAGGGGCTGCATGCAGGGCTGTGGCTGAATAAGCATGAGATGTTTTCTGACCAGTTGTGAGCCAGGGACATAACCCCAGAAAACCCACACCAACCTTACAATCAGAATTTGGTGGCCTGCATGCTATCAGGTCTTCTCAATAATTGTTGGTCCAAAGAATTCATCTGAGATTATAAAACTATTTTGTGCATATTGCCTCATGGAATTCATTTCAAAAGTATACAATATGAGATGGTCCCATTTATAAAACAGTGGCAAGGGCAGATCTATGACTGGCAAAAGCTAAAGTTTTCTTCTTTGCAGCATAATGGGGATTTTATGGTGTTTTTATTTTGCTTGCTTGGGTCAGCTCTGAAATTCACATCCACCCCTCAGACCAAGGACTGAGAGAAGGTTCCTGGAAGACAAACTTCCTCCTACAGAAGAGCTGCTCCTTTCATCAGAGGATGCAGCTCCCTGTGTTCCCCGGTGATTAATATGCCCTGGGGTACTGCTGAGAAGATGTCGGTGAGGGTCTGAAATGGTTTCCTCCAGAGTAAACCACAGTCTGCAGGACATATGGCACACAGCTCCTAAAAGATGAATGGGAACATGAGACTGCTGGGTGCTCAAGCCATGGATGATAGGGGTGTTGGAAAGAGCACCTCCTCTTAGCTTTGAAGTATGCCCAACTACAAGGGTTGGAGGAAATTAGAGTGAATGGGAATCCCCAAAATAAGGTTTGGCAGGCAGAGTGCCTATTGTAAAGAATTCCCTAGTCATATATAAGTAAGATTTCAAAAAATCTTCAAACCAATGCAGGGGAGTTCAGGGACCCTTGAGAAACTTGAAATGTTTATTTTGTAAATTAATGAGACTGGGAACATCTCATGATGCTGCCCAGATCCAGTAGGTTTTCAGGGTTCATCCAATGAGCACTGTCGATGGAAACCATGCCCTGGGTAGCTGGGGCCACTACAAATCAGGTCTCCAGGGGTGTGTGGCCCTCCAGACACTCATTCACCTGTCCCTGTCTAGATCTTCACCCGTTTCCACAGCTACTGCTCTCCCAGGTCTCTACCTCTTTCCCCCTCTCTCTTAGAAGATCATTCATTCCACACATCACACATACACTTCACAGGGGCTTTAGCTAAATCTTGAGATGAGAAAGAATGTACCAGGAGGACTGAGGAAAAGGGGAGTCAAGGAATTCCAGGTAAGGAAGGAGCATGCATAGCATTGTTCTTCAGAGCATTCACTGGCTTTGGAGCCAGGCAGACCTGCATGAAATCCCAGACCCTTCTCTGGTAATAGCCATGAATTAGACCAAGGTACTTCTGGAAGTCTCCACTTCTATAACATGGAGATGAGAGTCTCTGACTTATATGGCTGTTGTAAAGCTTAGATAAGAATACATGTAAAGTGCTTAGCACAATGCTTGGCACAGAGCAAGTGATTATTCAATGATAACCATTATTACTGTAATTTTTCAAATTTAAATATGTGTTTTGTAACCATTATAATAGAACCTACTTCACAAACCTGTTGTGAAGACCAAGTGAATTAATAAAGGTAAAAGAACTTTTAAAAAGTACAGCACATATTATTCAGTCTTAAAACTAAATGAAGTTCTGATACATGCTATAACATGATTGAACCCTGGAAACGTTATGCTAAGTGACATAAGCCAGACACAGAAGGACAAAGATTTTATGAGCCCACTTACCTGAAATACTGAGTAGGCAAATTCATAGAGACATAAAGTAGAATAGAGATTACCAGAGGTAAGGGACAATGGGGAGTTATTATTTAGTGGGTAAAGAGTTTCTGTTTGGAATGATATAAAAGCCTCAGAAATAGATAGTGGTGATGGTTGTACAACATTGCAGTGTATTTTATGCCATTGAATTGTACACTTACAAATAGTAAAATTTAAGTTCAGCAGAAAGACAATGTTGAATTAATTTGTCATTTTCTTTTATAGTTCAGAGTACTTCTCTAATTATTATTATTATTATTATTATTATTTTAAAGATGTGGGGTACAATTTAGGGTTAGGTACATAAGTGATCATCGTACAGGTCAGGTTTGGGTACTCTCATCGATGTTATGTGCCCCCACCTTCCCTGGCAGTGTCCCACTACTGCTAGTCCCACAGAGTACTTTTCTATTAATTATAAAATAAGCCAGTGCCAGAAGTGTCTCTTAGGTAGTTTCATATTGGTTTTCCAACAGATATAATACTACTAACATCCAGAGTAACACAGAACTAAATCAGGACATTTTATCTGCTCAGGTTTTTTTTTTTTTTGAGTTGGAGTCTCACTCTGTCACCCAGACTGGAGTGCGGTGGCCGCTCCCGGTCACTGCAGCCTCGACCTGCTGGGCTCTGGCGATCCTTCCGCCTCAGCCTTCCGAGTAGCCGGAATTACCGGAACGCGCTACCACACCCGGCTGATTTTTGATTTATTGTAGAGATGAGGTCTCGCTAAGTTGCCCAGGCAGGTCTCGAACCCGCGGGCTCAGGCAATCCCCTCACCTCAGCCTCCCAAAGCGCTCAGCGGGATTACAGGCTGAGCCACTGAGCCCAGCTCTGCTCAGGTTTTTAAAACTGTATTTATAGTTGCAGGATTTTATGTATTTCTAGGATAAATATGCATATTTAAAAATTAGTAAGTTTTTAAGAGGGAATTAGTTTAGGGTTGGTATTAGTTTAGGGTTGGTATTATAAAACCTGTACAGCTAGACTACCTTCTGTATAGAGAAGTCAAACAATTTCTTTCTTTTCTTTTTTTGAGACCTGCTGGGCTGAGGTGATCCTTCTGCCTCAGTCTTCCAAGTAGCTGGAACCATAAGCATATGCCACCATACTCGGCTAATTTTTTGATTTATTGTAGAGATGAGGACTTGCCAAGTTTCCCTGGCTGGTCTTGAACCCCTGGACTCAGGCAATTCTCTTGCTTCCACCTCCCAAAATGCTGGGATTATAGGCATGAGCCACCATACCCGGCCAAGTCTAACAATTTTATTTCACTTTTGACCTTGGACTAGATCTAAGATGGGCTTGCTTTTACTAAGTGCTCCTCTCTAAGAGGTAAATAGTCATACAGTCTACTTTGAAGATACATACTTGTGTTAGAGAGTTTATAACCTAGTGAGGATGTGAAAATGGATACACATGTACCCTCACACAGAGAGGAGTTCAGCATTTTGAAAATTATGTTTAAAAACAGACAACCAAAAACCTCTGAAAAGGGAATATTTTTGGAGGCTTCAGCAGGAACACATGCGGCTCACTGACCTGTGTTCCCTGACTGTTGATGTCGAGGGCATCACTCCACTCAGTTGTTATTTCATTCAGCAACTCTACTCTCAAAAGGAGGCTTGGAAGTAAGTCTCTGGTTTTGCAGTCTGGATAGCTGGAAATCTGATGATAGAGCTCATGATGAATTGAGCACTCAGAAGGAATTTTTTTGCAATAAACCTCAAACTTTGGAATATCTGAAAGTTTAAAAAAGGTTATGCAAGATTAGGCCTTAAAGACAAAGACTTAGGAGATATTAAGCATAATGTGACAAAAGAAACTTCTCAAGGAGGGATGAACAGTACTTGTATGTAAATGCTCTTCACAGGCTCACAGATAACTACTAAATCAAAAAGTCTCCAGAAAAAAATACAAGTTTTGTGCCATCTAAATTCAACATATAAAATATACCTTTAATATTTTCCTTCATAAGCATTGTTACTGGACATCTGTTGTGGACAATTATTCGAGGACTAGGGTCTTCTGAGAGGGTTAAATAAGTTACTCCGAAATGTTCTTGATATGTCAGTGCTATAGCCCTAGAGTAGAAACGACAGAAATGGTTTAGGAAAAAAAAATGCTTTCTCTCCTGGAACATGTATATTTAGATTTGCAATATTCAGAACTCTAGAACATCTTTTTATAACTCAAAGGAGATATTTTCCACAAAACGGAGGTCACCCTCTCATTTATTGACTGTCATACACTAATTATAGGTTTACTGGCTTTTTGATAATAGTAGCATAAGTTATCATAAAATATTAAAAAATGTAAAAAATTATTTAAAGGGAAAAAACCCTCTGCCACCCACAGCCAACCTCGTGCTAACCTTTCCTGCTGTTCTTTCTCCCTATGCATATGTGCCTAAACTCTTCACACAAGGTACCTTCTTCTTCACAAGTGCTTAGTAAAGTTTGGTAAAGGAGCACCTGACCTACTTTTAGAGGAACTACTAGAAAATTTGGGTGCTTGCTCTTTTTTAAATTCTAAAGATAGGTAAGCTTTTAATACTTGTCAGTCTTCACAAGATCATATTTCACAAAATCTACATTTTGACAATCAGAAGCAAAGCTGTATTATTTGCAGTTAGAAAAACACCTGTGTGAGCATAGCTTGCCCTCTGCAATGAAGAGAAGAAAATTTTCCCACTTAGACCACAGACTACCAAGTGATACCAAAGTGATATCAAAGCAGGAAAAAATTTCACTCTGAAGTCTATATTACATGGAATGATTGTAGAAATTAATAAAATAAATCAGATAATTTGCCAATTGTAGCCCTTAGTTTATGCTGATTGAAAGAGGTCAATGATGTACTAAAGAATTCCCCAATCTTTTCAAAGATTGTATTTTTCTGAAATGCCAAAGTAAATTGTCCATTAACATTTGGTGAATGCACATTAATAACACTATCAAATGTGCATCACTGGATTGAAGAGAGCAAAGAGATAAGGAGATGGGACAGTAAGAAGTAAATTCATTTTCACAATATAGTTCTTGGATTCACAGAGAAGTTCTTTTCCCAGTCTAATTTTGAAAGAGCTGGGCAAGCCAACCTCAGATAGTTTGTTTTTGATATCAAGAAAGCTGGGGCCTGGGCTGGAGTATGGTATTTTCAGCATAATATCCTGCTTAGTATTTGGGGATAAGATTAACTTAGATTATAATTCTTAAAGTTTTAAACTTAGTTTCCAAATAAGGTTTTGGTTTACATTTTGTCTTTCAGTTTTAAAAATAATTTTAAAAATTGACAGCCAGGCTCGGTGGCTCAGCCTGTAATCCTGCACTTTGGGAGGCTGAGGTGAGTGGATTGCCTGAGCCTGTGGGTTCGAGACCCGCCTGGGCAACTTGGCAAGACCTCATCTCTACAATAAATCAAAAATCAGCCGGGTGTGGTAGCGTGTGCCTGTAATTCCGGCTACTCGGAAGGCTGAGGCGGAAGGATCGCTGGAGCCCAGCAGGTCGAGGCTGCAGTGGCCGGGAGCAGCCACTGTACTCCAGTCTGGGCGACGGGACTCCAACTCAAAAAAATAAAAAATAAAAAATGACATAAGTTCACATAGCTTTCAAAAACACTTCCTTAAATTCACCATACTTAACATCTCCAACCAGAATATTAGGATAACCACTCCTCTATAGTGTTAGGGAGGAAAAATGTTTGTAAAATCAAGGATGCTTGTGAATACTGTGAAAAGAGAAGGGGTGTATGTAGGGAATAGACTCTCACCATTTTCAACAACTTGAGTTAGGCTGTTACCTTTTAAAATATTACTATTAAAAGTCTTTTTATACATCAAAAAAGTTAGCATGGCTAAAATCTCAAAGAGTCTATAAATTCATAACATGAAAATGGGGTACGTCTCATAAGGTCACAATATGTTTTCTTTTGTAGTTGTTATAAATATTATAAGTAAGTTATTCCTGACAGCTGCAGAAGGGACATACTACATGCAAAACAACCACATAATGGAAGTCCGGTATGAACAAACCATTACATGTCTCTGGCTTGAATCTGTGGTTGTTATTTGCATAAATGGTAATCGGTGATTGGAGCAACTAAACTTGTGTGCAAGAACAACACAGAACAGAGTCTTCTGTGACTTGTGTTTATCTAAGTTATTTCTCTTAATGACTTTTTGAGAAAAATTCCATTTTGAAGTGAAAGTAAAATATTGAAAAAGATTTTCCTATTTTACTTTCTCATATTTCAACCCCTTATTTCTTACAACTTTATAGAAGCTAAGAACTCATAAAAGGTGGTATTTTATTAGGATGTTGTGCTGCTATTCTATGGTACAATTTCCCCCCCCAGGACAAGCTGTATAAGGGAAAAATCTCATAAGTAGAGCACTGAGACAACCCAAATGTGATGGTAACATTTGACCAATTGTATGCAATGTCTAAAAGTCACTAAAAATAAAAGTAGAGCCTAGTATTACATATGGGGAGCAGTCAACCATTTTGTCTCCCCTGGCATCTTGGTGAACAACTACAGTGACAAGCAAAGAAAAAATAATTTTACATATATGCAAAATACCTGGTACAGAATTCATTTTCCCTGAAATCCCCGAAGGGCACGGCCACACTCTGTCTGGGAAACTCTTGTCTAACTATTGCTGGCAGGCTCCAGCACTGTGAACTGTCGGCACCTGTGCCAGGAGAAAAGCCCAGCAAGATCTGTTTCTGAAACAGGGATATATCCAACACCGACTGACTGATGTCAGGCATTAAGTCCCAGCAAGGAAGGGAGCTGGATTTCATAGCAGGCTGCTCTCCACCTGGGCAAATGCTAAAAGTAGCACTGTCTGGAACGTGAAAATACTAAAAAAGAAAAGGCAATACAGAAAGAGCACATTAATCACAGTAATACAGCAAAGCTAAGTTTTTAAAAGTACATCTTCTAAGATACCATCCATAACCACATATTCTCAGAAAGTGGCCGGGTTGGGGACAGGGGGATACTAGGAATATGTTCCCATGAGGAAGCCTGAATAGGAAAATTACAAGCAGTGACAGCAGGGTCTGCCTTTCTGGGCACAGTGAAACATAGAGCTAGGGTGATGAAAATATGTCCAAGTTCTCATTGTCCCCCAGCTACTGCAAAAATCCCTATGCCATTGGCAGTAGCTAGAAACTGCCAGGGGAGATGAAGAGGAGCACATAAAAAAAAGATTCCTATGCCATGTGCTGGGGAGGGAGCCCTCTTGGACAGGTATGGCTGTGCTGAAAGTGTGTGGCATGCCAGGGATGCTGGGAAGAGGAGATCTGAATGGGATACAAAACAGAGACCTGGGAGCTCAGAGGACAAACTGTATTTAAGGCTCATCCCAAGAGTGGAGCAAACTCTGATCCCAACCCTCAGGTGGAATTCCACATGACTTTTGACACACTTAAAGGGGACATTTGGAGATAATTTGTTTGAATCTCCTCTTTCACAGCTGAGGAAACTGCTTTCCAGAGAGCTGACGACTTGTCCACCATCACAAAGCCAATCAGTGGCAAAGCCCAGTCAGAAGTTGTGTCCTGCTCCTGAGTTTGGTCTTTTCCCTACTGCCCCACAGTCACCTTGAGTAGCTAGGCATAACATAATTATTTCTTAAAAAAAAAAAAAAAAAAAAAGAAAACCCCACACCTGCCTGAAGCAGGGTCAGGGTTGAAAAAGAGGATACTCCTCAGCTGCTGGGAAGAACCAGCGCCATCCTCTTCTCTCTAGGAAGGTAAGGCAAATCAGTTCTGTGTGATGTTGATGTTGCAGTTGCTGTTGGCTGCTACCATTTACTGAGTGCCTATCCTTTTTCACTTATCTTACTTAATCCTCACAAAAACCTGCAAGGAATGCAAAATCATGCCCATTTTACAGATGAGTAAATATCAGTGTGGGAAGCCCTGGCCCAATGTCTCAGGAAACCCTACGGTGGGAAGAAGCAAGAAAATTATTAGGACACATGTTGATTCCCTCGTCAAATTCTCACCTACAATGCAAATACTGCTGACCTTTATTTGCCATTGGGAATCAGCTGGGTAATTCTAGCCACCTATTTTATTTGACCAAAACTTCAGTGAACCAGGATGAAATTCTGCTGTTCAGACATATTTGTAAATAGAATTGTCCCTAAGTATCTGCGGGAAGTTTATTCCAAGACCCTGCCCAATACCAAAATCCACTAATTTTGATCCAGTTCCTTATATAAAATGGTGTAGTATTTGCATATAACTTATATATGTCCCCCAGTATGCTTTATTTTTATTTTTAGAGTCAGGGTGTCACTCTGCCACCCAGACAGGAGGGCAGTGGTGTCATGGCTCACTGCAGCCTCGACCTGCTGGCTTCAAGTGACTCTCCTGCCTTAGCCTCCCGAATAGCTATGACTACAAGCACAAGCCACCATGCCCAGCTAATTTTTTGATCTTTTGTAGACATGAGATCTTACTATGTTGCCTGGGTTGGTCTTGAACTCCTGGCCTCAGACAATTTTCCCATCTCGGCCTTCTGAAGTGCTGAGATTACAGGGTGAGCCATTGTGCCCCAGCTCCATATACTTTAAATCTTTTCTAAATTACTTATTATACCTAATACAATGTAAATGCTATGTAAACAGCTGTTATTCTGCATTATTTTTTAATTACTGTATTGTTATTTTCAATTTTTCCTCCCTAAATATTTTTGATCTGTGGTTGGTTGAATCCATGAGTGTGGAACCCATGGAGACAAAGGGCTAACTACAGCACAACACATTGTAAGCTTAAAAGTATAAGACTTTCATCCTATTTGATCATGATGATGATGATTCTTTTTTTTATTTTTATTTTGAGAAAGCAGGATTTATCGAGAGGACAGAAAAGCTCCCAGAGTGGGAGGGGACCGGAAGGGGTTGCCCTGATGATGATTCTTTTAAGTTGGTGTTTCACTTTGTCGCCCAGGCTAGAGTGCAGTAGCATGCTCATGGTCACTGCAGCCCTGACGTGCTGGGCTCAGGTGATCCTTCTGATTCATCCTTCCAATTAGCTGACTCATAGACATGCGCCACCATACCTGGCTAATTTTTTGATTTATTGTAGAGATGAGGGCTTGCCAAGTTGCCCAGGTTGGTCTCAAACCCCTCACTAGGCTCAGGCATTTCTCTTGCTTCTGCCTCCCAAAGTGCTGGCATTACAGGAATAAGCCACCATGCCCACCCCTATTTGATTATCCTAACATAGTTTTTAGGGGCTGAAAGTAAGGGATAACAACAGGTGCAGACAAAGGTAAAGAGATAATAGTTTTCTATATGACAATTTCAATAGCATAAAACACTAGCATAGCACTTAGGATATTCTGTTTTTAAGTTCTTTTAAAATCTCTCCTTACTCTTAAACTATGAAACACTGATGAAATAAATTATAGATAACACAACAAATGGAAGAATATCTCATTCTCATGAATCTGAAGGATAAGTATTGTTAAAATTACTATACTGCCCAAAGCAATCTACAGGTTCAATGTAATCTCTATCAAAAAGCCAACATCCTTTTTCACAGAACTAGAAAAAAACAATCATAAACTTTATATGGAACTGAAAGAAGAGCCCCAATAGCTAAAGCAGACCTAAGTAAAAGGTATAAATGTAGAGGCATCACATTGCCTGACTTCAAATTATACTAAAGGCTATGGCAATTAAACAGCATGGTACTGGTACAAAAATAGACATACAGATCAATGGAACAAAATAGAGAACCCAGAAATACAGCCACTTGCCTACAACCAACTGATCTTTGACAAAGCTGACAAAAATAAATAATGGGGAAAGGACACGATTCAATAAATAGTGCTTGGAAAATGGGCTAGCCATATGCAGAAGAATGAAACTGGCCCCCCTTCCTCTTGTCATGTACAAAAATTAACTCAAGATGGATTAAAGAATTAAACATAAGACCTAAAACCATAAAATCCTAGAAGAAAACCTAGGAAAAACTCTTCTGGACATTGCCTTTGGCCTAGGCAAAGAATTTATGATGAAGACTCCAAAAGCAAATGCAACAACAACCAAAAAATAGACAAATAGGACTTAATTAAACTAAAAAGCTTCACGGCAAAATAATCAACAGTGAGCAGAAAACAAATAAAATGGGAGAAAACATTTGCAAATTATGTCTCAAAGGACTAATATCTAGAATCTACAAGGAACTCAACATGGAAAAAACAAACACATCAAAAAGTGGGCAAAAGACATGAATGGACACCCCTCAAAAGAAGATATACAAACAGCCAACAATCATATGAAAAAAATACTCTAAACATCACTAATTATCAGAAATGCAAATTAAAACCACAATGAAATATCATCTTATACCAGTCAGAATTGGTATCATTAAAAACTCAAAGAATGAGTTGGCATGGATGCGAATAACGCTCATATATTGCTGGTGAGAATATAAACTAGTTCAACCTCTACAGAAAACAGAATGGACATTTCTCAAAGAACTAAAAATAGAACTACCATTCAATCCAACAATCCCATTACTGGGTAGCTACTGAAAAGAAAATGAATCATATAAAAAGATACCTGCATCTGGATGTTAACTGCAGTAGTATTCACAATAACAAAGTCATGGAACCAACCTAAGGGTCTATCAATGATTGACTGGATAAACAAAATATGATATACACACATACACCATGGAATACTACACAGCCATAAAAAAGAATGAAATCATGTCTTTCGCAGCAACATAGATGGAGCTAGAGAACCTAAGTAAACTAACTCAGAAGCAGAAAACCCAACACCACATACTCTCACTTATATGTGGGAGTTAAATGGCCATACAGATGAAAATAATGGACACTGGGGGTATTAAAAGCACAGAGGTGGGGCAAAGGTTCAGAAGCTACCTACTGGGTCCAGCTGGGGAATGGGGACACCCGAAGCCAAATCCCCACCAGCATGTAATATGCCCATGTAACAAGCATGCACTTGTACCCCTGAGTCTAAAATACAACATTTAAGTGAAAAAAACCTCTGCTTACTCTCTTAGAATATAACAATTTTAATTGTGTGAAGAGTTGAATCAAAAATCCCATTGAACATTCTTGGATTTATTTTCTGCATATTCTGCCATCAAGAAGTTGACATAAATGAGCTGGCACATTTCCACATTTACTCTTCTTGTAGACCCAGAGCTCTCTGCTCCCAGATCTGTGGCTCCATTTGACCCTAGCCTTCTGCCCACATGGCTCTTCAGGCGCTACTGCTGTGAGGCAGATGTGCTTTTGCATGTGACCCAGAACTGCCTCCCAGCTAGTGGGGGTTTAGCAAGCAGGTTAGAGGGCTGGGCTGGAGCTGCTGAGCAGAGAGGGCATAGGCAGAATTAATCCAGCAGTGTGTCAGGATCTGCTGCTTTGTAGGATTTCTCCTTATTAATGAACTTGGTAGCAGTGGCCATGACATCCCTGGTTTTAATTACAACAAAAACAAATGAATTTCTCTTTACCTGCATTCAGTGTTGGCTTTTTATTTGTTCTAGGTTAAAAAAGAAGCTAGTCCTATTTGTTGTTACTTTATCAAAGTATACATAAAGCAATCACATTATGACTTGCTTACCTCCTGTCCAGAGTAGGGACTGGAGACAGATAACTGTGGCTTATAAAATATTTGATATGATGTATTATTGATTATTGTAGTCTTGTCTTCAATCTGAATGATTTGTATACCTTGCTGTACCATGGAGGAAATGCAGAACTGACATAACTGTAAGATAATAGAGAAAAGAATAATTTTGACAATATTCTAAGGCATATAAAAAAGTCTCTTCAGTCTTCCTAAAAGTTTATTTTTTCTATTGGTTTGCCCAGGACAGTGCTAATGTTACCTTTTATGCAGAGTATTTAACAGTGTTCCCTTTAAAAAATCTCAAAAATGCCCTGGCCCCTGTCAATATTTACTCTACAACAGAATACATTAGCAAGCTGGTTACTTTTGCTGTTGCTGTAATAATAGATAAGAGATTTATTTTCAGATTGTTTCACAAATTACCTCACACAATATTTATTTATAAAGGACTAACTCACTAACAAGTGCTGCTCATCTTACTTGACAGAATTCCTCTCAGTTGGCCTCCTCCTCAGGCTCATCGTAGCAGCTACCTTGCTGAATGCCTATGACGAACCAAGGAGAATTCTGGGAACTTTAATGATGATGATGATGATGATGAAGAAAACAATGAGAATGGACCTTCATATACTGCAATACTGTGTTCCACCTGTTTTAAGTCCTTTATGCATACTAACTCAAAATACTCACAATACCTACATGTGCTTGTTACTATTATCCTTATTTTACAGAGGAGAAAAATGAGGTGTAAAGTGGTTAAGTCACTTGTCTAGGGTCACAAAGATAAAAAGTGTCTAGATGGGGTTAGAACCCATGCAGTCTGGCTCTGTAGTGACGCTCTTAACCACTACATGCATCGTCTCGTTTCCTTACCATGGTATGTGTGGAACTCATGCTAAGAGAAGATGCTAACTTGCTTAAAAATGCCCATCTAGTAATGGTAATGCTGGAACATCAGTTTTCAAAGGGTGTCTGGGACCCCATAGGAGAACTTTGGGTATGGGGTCCCAAGGTCAAAATTATTTAAAAATAATATTAAGACAGACAGTGGAGTTTTCCAGAGGCTATATGGCATGTGATATCATTATTCTGATGGCTAATGGAAATGTTTGTCTGTTCTTGTGTTTTAAAAAAATTTTGTTTCAATTTTTAATTTGATAAATATTGCTATAACCTACAGAAACAAAAAGTCTTTGGAGGTCCTCAATAATTTTTAAGAGTATAAAGGGGTCCTGAGACTAAAAGGTTTAAGAGTCACTACTGAAGAATAATGTGCCATCAATATATTTTCCAACAGTTCATTCATTCATTCACAAACATTTATTCAGCCCTTGCTATGGCCACATTGTGAGGTGCTAGAGGTATTGGGTGTTGACTGAATATGATAACATTTTTTCCAGGTTTTGATGGTAGTTCTCAACTTACAACTATTCAACTTTGGGTGATTCATGCTTACAGCTCTTTGCCATTTACACCCATGTTACAGTGCTTTGGCCGGCAGAGCATAAACATGTGTTGCCCAGACAACTTTGAGGAAATGGATACCAGCCTTGAACACTGAAGAAAGACCAACTTCTTTGTATCAGGGAAATTTATATTTTTAAAAGTCATCAAATGACCCGAACTTTTTTCAAAAAGCTCTTCAAATATGCCTGTCAGAAATCTAACTTCTCCCCTGAAAAAGAACACTCTGAATTCTACTACTCTGATGAAGTATCCCTTCTTTATCTGATTTGGGACAGCTAAAGTAATGAAGATATTATAAGTGTAGCATGAAACTTCTGTATGGTACTCTGGGATGTTGTACTTTCATACATACAATATAATGTGATTAGTTAGTAGCACATTACATTAGTTCAGCTAATTGATTTTAGCAGACTTTAGATTTATACTGAAAGCACACACCATTAGTATTTACTTAAACAACTGATTAAACATGTTTTTTGTATCGTTATCCCTAAAAACACAGGCACCAGTCTACGGTTTAAGAATAACTCCCTCTTCTAACAATGGTTCTATGGAAAAATTGGAATTGGTCTACATCATTTTGTTGAGGATGCCCTTTCCAGGAATATAACCTTTGCTGCAGGAGCCATCATCCCTTCAGTCTATGCTCAGAATGTTAGCAACTCTACTTCCTGCTCTAAAAAAAGAGGCCAAGTACAATTTGTGGATATTTGGAATAAGTTCATTTACCAGGGTAAACTCCACATCTTATAAATCAAGTGACTGCTGAGTGTTCTGAAATAGAACAATTATTGGATAAATTATGTGACATGGCTTTTATCACTGGTAAAGAAAAGAAAAAGCACTGTAAAACAGAGGTCTATGAAGTTAAGAAATAAGTGTTACACTGTTATAAATTGTTTAGAACAAGTAATACCAAAAAGGAATTAAAAAGAAAAGGGCAGATTTATTTTAAACAGGTTAAGGGGATGGCATGCTATTTCCTCCGAGCCACATAGACTTTGATCTTACCTTCTGATGTCCCGGGAAAGCACCAAGTCTTATTTCAGCATCAACAAAACCTTCTTCGTCCAATGTCACAACTTCACCATTACCTCCATCTTTCCATTTTGGAGATGTCGAGTTATGGACCAGTTTAATTGCTACTGACTTGTGCACAGTGTTTGTATTTGCCCAGTATATTCCAATTTGAAAAGCTTCCTGGAAAAATAATGCCCCAATTATAGAGTATTTTTCTTTACTTTGATATTTTTTACTTCAATGCTCAGGAATTTTTTTGATATTATATAATAGGTTTACTAAGAAAATGAAATATTCCTCCTTGGTTTTTTATATTTTTGGAATGGCAACATACATTTTATTTTGGTTCCTAATGTCTTTTTTATTCACAATGGAATTCATATTTATGGAAGGAGGGGGGAAGAACACACCCAAACTGTGACACTACCCTGGAAATACTAAAGACTTAAAAACTGAAGGCTTCATCTCATTTGACAAGAGAATAACATGCAACACTAGGTCCATATAGGTCAACATTCCAATTCTATAAGGTAATATTATCTGATTATTTTAAAAAAATAAAAATGCAATTGAATAAAGATGTTCATAGACTGAAGCTCAGAAAAGGAATCTGAAATTCTTCTGTATCAGAAAAACATCTTGTTTAGGAGTTCCTTTTACTCTATTTTCTTTTAGATTTATGTGTCTTCTTGAAATGAACTAGCCTTATAAAGAAAGTTCTCTTGTGATAGAACATAAAATCTTCCTGTGATATTTTGTTTTGCAATTAGGTTTTTCTCCCTATGTCAGCTGTGTTGTTAAAATCAACAACTGAGAGAACATCCATAATTATGAACATCCAAGTCCACTTATAAAGGAGAAGTGGCCTTGACAAAAATGGTTGCTTAGAAATCTTCAGTACCTTGCAGATCTCAGAGAAATTCCAGAACAGAAAATACTACCTAGGGGTAGATTGGCACATAATATGCTCTATATTCTTAATATAAACTTGAGTAGACCAGCCCTCATGCTTGTCAAATGCTGTACACAATGAAAATGAGAATGTAACTAGTACAAGTTATCAAGTTTAATAACTCAACCATGAATAGTGCTGATGATAAAAAAATGGTATCAGAAACATCTTTGAATATCAAAGAACATTCCATACCCCTTATGTATGCATCTAAGAGGACAATTTTCCAGAACTGATTCATTCTGTTAAGATCATAAATGCAACCACAGAATGAAATATACTTGTTGAGAGAAAAGAATTCATATTCATTTCAAAAAGTTGTAGTACCTGGAAATTAGGAGGAATAATAATTTTGCCAGCGGGAACCTGTAGCACAATCTTCTCTCCTTCGAACAGCCAGAGGTCCCATTTGGATTGATTGATAAGCAGGGCCCAGGGAAGAAGTTCTATCAACAAGGTTCTAACATATGGCTTCCAGATTGACAGCTTCACTCGCATTGGGCTATCCCACTGACTCAGCTGTTCATTCCTGTTCCAAATACCATATCCAAGAGACTCCATGAAATGTGATGACTTCAGTGTTCATGAAATATGTCTAAGACACACAATGCTCCTGTATAATACCATTTACATCAGAAACATCCAATGCTGACATTTGCATGCAGGAGAAAGCAACTTTTTATGCCATCATGTTCCAGATTATGAATAAAGAAATCTACAGAATACACCTGCTAGATGATAAAAAACAAGAATCTGATAGATTCATGCACATACTTTTTAAAAAACATCATTTATGGTATCTGATATTTTTGTGAATGGTCCTTTCTTAATGTTGAGAAATTTTTGTAGAAAAAGACTGCTGAAGAATGTTACCTGTCAGAATCCTTCTTATTATAGGGCCACATGGGTTGAAAGGACTTTTCTGGTCCATAGAATTCATCAAGGATCTGATTAACTGTGCCTCCAGGGTGTATCTTAGTGACTATTTGCTTAATCAGTGATGTTGATATGGGAACGGCACAATCTGAAGGATCATATTCTTCTCTAAGAAGTGGAAAGGAAAAACAAGAACAGATTTTTTTTCCAGATTTTTTAAGTGGTCTACAGTTTATTGAAAAAAATCCAAACTACCAATGTATTATAGACCAATAGTTTTTTGTAGATTGAGTCCATGTAGGTGATTTAGGAACTTATGGCACACAGTTTTTAGATGATCTGGGCCCTGGATTTTCCCCTTTCTTCTCTCCATCCCTCCAATTCTTGGGTATAGATCTCTATTAATCTCTTCTTCCACTAGATAAATCATGTGTCAGTGAAATCTAAATTAAATTTTCTGATGAGCCCTCTTGGTTATTCCTAAGCTTAATAAGAACGGCTGGATTTTATCTAAACTATAAAAGAGAAGAAGGACAATTTTAAAATAACATTCTCATAAGAAATCATACAAAAATTCTACCCACCTTACCCTCCATCCCCCCACAAAACACAGTGACTTTTCTACTGAATTTCTCTTAGGAAAATGTAAGGATTTTTCTAGTACCTTGCTTGGAATGTTAGGTGATGTACAAGGTCAGGTTCTATGTTTTGCAGTGGTTTTTCTTGCCCTTTTCCAGGAATAATTTGTGTTTCGCTCAATCCCAGACTCCTTTTCTCCAAATGTATGATAATGGGGTCTGGAAGATGACTCCTCATGATAAAAAGAGGGCTGAACACAATCTATAAAAATAAAAGGACAGAGCAACTTTCATATTTGCTTTGTAGCAGTATTCCAGCTGTTTGATGCTGAAGCAAACTTGTAATAAATCTCTTCCCTGGGTCACTCTGACCTTAATTTATTCCAGAATAGGAAAGGTCAGAGTCATATACCATATTTTAGGATTGGGAAAGCACTCACCATTCGTTGTTGCACTTGAGAGTTGGGTTCTAAAGTCAAAACTGTGCACCAAACATAAATAATGGAACTGTTTGAAGATGGCACCTGCACATGAGATAGAAAAGAGTCCTATTAAATCCTAAACAGCTTACTAATTAATCAAAATAAAGCACTGATATAATATCAGTTTGTAAGATAAAAAGAAGTTTAAAGTTATAGAAAAGTAGCCATTAAAAAAAAAAAGGACAACTAAGCAAAAGCAGACTTCATTATGGCATAAAGTGAACATGAGTCGATGGGGCCAACTCCTTCCATAAAGACAAAGGGATTCACAAAAGGAGAGGTTGATACGAGACTGAGTGGCAGAATGGAAGAGAGAATATGTCTTATGGGAATGAAAGTGATGATGGTAAAGATTGAGGAAGAGATAAAAAAATAACAGACTATCACAAAGATCCTTTTTTTTTTTGCAATAGAATCTTTCTCAAAATACAACTCATCTGCATCTGGGAGGGACAGTCTTGGCTATCAGAACTACTGGAACTGATACAAACATGTTGTTGTGGGAAGGGTAGGAAGCAGTTTGAGAAGCACTATTCAGAGTCTTTCGATCTTATTTCAAATCTCTCCCCCTTTTGCATCCATCACTTTTTCATAAATTAAAGGATTTATCAAGTAAACAACATACTGAGAAAGTTTAAAAGTTAAAGCTGCTTTCTTCTAGGCTACACTACTTCTCCTACCTGGATGACAATGCTATGCTCAGGGTCTTTGGATTCCAAGCACACATCTCTTGACCAGTCTTCATCTCCTTTGGCCCTTACACATAACTCTGTCAGTTCATTGTTTTCCAGTATGTATGAAGGCAATTTTTGTTTGGCCATGAGGCAGTCAAAATGTTCCCGAACCACAGCTTGTCCATCTTGACCAATATAATGCTGAACAACTTTTAGTTCTATGCTCTGAGACAAGTAACTACAGATGATTTGTCTTCCACAGATGATGATCTAAAAGACAATAAATAAATACATAAGGATGAATCAATTCAGACCTCATTAACTGGAATATGTAATCATTCATTCAGAGTAAACTATGTTGATGTTAATAGCAAGAAAATGAAGTCTTTAGCTTAGACAGTAGAAGAAGGAAAAAAGACTTAAGTAAAGAATAAATTTTGCCTTGGTCATGTTGAGTTTGCATGTCAAGGACAGACACATAGGCAGAGCCCAGTGCCCAGCTAGCAATACTGGTGGTGCTTGAAAGAGAAGGTGGAGCTGGAGATAAAGACTTATGAAAGAAATATGCACAGACAGAAGATAGTTTACCTGAAAGAGTGAGTGGAAATGCACACCCAGAAACTGACAATAATTTAGTATACAATAGTTTGTAGGAGGTATTAAGAAATGGTTCCTTAAACTGGTTAAAATTGAAAAGATAATGCAAAATTTACTTTTATGCAGCAAATGCTTTTAGAAAGTAAATCCCTCTGGGATGTGAATATTTACCATGATTGGAGAAAATATAACTTTCACATATTTCACACATAAATTTCCTATTTGTAATATTTTTTCAGATTATACAATAATAACAATAACATGTATATGTGTATATATATGAGGGCAGACTATAAAAAACCCAGAATTATCTTTTGGAGGGCAAGCCCCTTGCAATACAGGCTTCCCTTGCTAGATAAGTACTCTAAGAATTCACTGGCATCAATATACCAGCTAGCACTGTTGTGAGGCTGCATTCAGCTTCAGTAAATTTTCTGGACAGTCTATCAACACATTTGTCCATTTTATGATGGGTGATTTATGAGTGCACCTGCCCACACCACACTGAGTGTTCACCAGTTTTTGACCAAAAACGGCATGACCCCTGTGCCTCACCCTCCCTATTTACCCGATATTGCCCCGAGCAACTTTTTTGTTTGTTTCTCTGGGTGAATAAAATCCTCAGAGGGAAATATTTTGATGTGGAAGAGGTGAAACAAAAAATGGCAGATGCACTAAAAAGCATCAAAATTGACCAGTTCAAACACTGTTTTGAGCAGTGGAAAAAGCATCTCGATAGGTGTACTGAATCAAACAAAGAGTACTTTGAAGGCGAGTGACATTTATGCATGTAAGAATACATACACAATTACTTATAAGTAAATTCCAGGGTTTTTTGAGTCCTTCCTCATATATAGTGTACTTACAGGTCTGTGCATATGATAGTTAATTTAACTTGTTTTTTTCTTTATTTTAAATACTTGGGGTACAATTCAGGGTTAGGTATACAAATGTTCATTATACAGGTACCCCTGTTGATGAGGTATCCCCCTTCCTTCCCTGGCAGTTTCCCTCAACTGCCAATCCCTCCCCCTCCCCTGGCAGTTTCCCACTACTGCCAATCCCTTTCTTATAGTATTATGATAATTGTTCAAGGTCCACCTATGAGTGAGAACACACGGTATTCTGTTCTTTGTTTCTTTGATTACTGAGTGTGATAGACTCTAAATCCATCCAAGTTGCTGCGAAGTTCATATGTTTGTCTTTCTTATGGCTGCATAATATTCCATTGTGTATATGTACCACATTTTTTTAATCCAGGCAGCATGGTTCGTTCCATGTTTTTTCTATTGTGAATAGAGCTGCAACAGATATGCATGTGCAGGTATCTTTTTGGTAGAATGACTTGAGTTCCTCCAAGTATATTCCAAATAGGGGAATTGCTGGGTCATATGGAAGGTCAATTTCTGGTTCTTTCAGAAATCTCCACACTATCTTCCAAAGAGGTTGCACTATTTTGTATTCCTACCAGCAGTGTAGAAGTGTTCCTTTATCTCCACATCCTTGCCAGCATCTGTTGTTTGTTTTATTAATGATGGCTATTCTTACTGGGGTTAGGTGGTACCTCATTGTGGTTTTGATTTGCATTTCTTTTGATGATTAGTGAGGTTGAGCACTTTTTCATGTGTCTGTTGCCTGCCTGTATATCGTCTTTTGAGAAGTGTCTATTCATGTCTTTTGTCTACTTTTTAATGGGGCTGTTTATTTTCCTTTTGGCACATTTGAGTTCCTTGTAGATCCTAAATGTTAGGCCTTTGTCAGATATACAGTTGGCAAATATTTTTTCCCATTCTGTGGGCTGTCTCCCTGCTCTCTTGATGGTTTCTTTTGCTTTGCAGAAGCTTGTCAGTTTGATGAGGTCCCACTTGTCTATTTCATCTCTTATAATATGGGCACTTGGGGTTTTGATCAGGAATTGGTTGCCAGTTCCAATTTCCATAAGGGTGTCTCCTGCATTTTCTAAGATTCTTATAGTTTGAGGTTTTATGTTTAGGTGTTTGATCCATTTCAAGTTAATTTTTGTGTATGGTGATAGGGAGGGGTCCTATTTCGGTCTTCTGCATGTGATCAGTCAGTTTTCCCAGCACCATTTCCTGAATAGGGTTCTTCTCTCTCCAGTAATTGTTGCTGGAGGCTTTGCCACAGATGAGCTGGTTTAGAAATTGAAGCTTTGCTTCTGGAATCTCTATCCTGTTCCATTGGTTTGCATGCCTCTTCTTATATCAATACCAGGCTGTTTTGATTATTGTAGCCTTAAAGTTTGAAGTCTGGAGGTGTGTTTAGTTAATTTTAGTGTGTCAACTTGACTAGGTTATGGTATGCCCACACATTTAGTCAAAGTATTCTGAGTGTGTCTATGAGAATGTTTCTGACCATCCTCACAGACACACACACTCAGAATAGTTAACATTTGAACTGGTACAGTGAGTAAAGAAGATTGCCCCCCCTCCAATATGGGTGAGCACCATGCAATCAAAGAAAGACCTAATTGAATGAAAAGGGACAAGTAAAAGGGAACTCATTCTTCCTGACTACTTGAGCTGGGACATTGGTCATTTCTGGCCTTTGGACTTGGACCGAAACATTGGATCTTCTTGAGTCTTTAACTTCCCAGCTTATGGAATGGAACTTACACCATTGGCTCTCCTTGTTCTCAGGCCTTTAGACTCAGACTGGAACTACACATTGGCTGCCCTCGGTCTCCGGTTTGCTGACTGTAGATCCTGGGACTTCTAAGATTATGTCACATGTTCCATAATAGTATGAATCAATTTATAATCAATCATTTTCTCTCTTTCTCTCTGTACCCATATACCACCCCCCAACTCTATTAGTTCTGTTTCTCTGGAGGACCCCTAACTAATCCAAAGCATTTTCACAAATTAATACTTTGTTCTCACAGCAACTTTATAAAGTAGGTGTTACTATGACTCCCTATCTTAACAAGGAGAAAATGTATGCACAGATATATTGAATAACTTGCCTGGTGTTACCCAGGCAGTCTAGCCCAGAGTCTATCACTCTGATAGTCTCTCATACAATTAATGCCTACTAAAAGAAAACTTAGACACCATAATAAAGAGAATAAAGGCTGTCCATCATAACATAAATGTGTCAGACATCAATGGTGATCTTTCCAATAGTTAGTCCCTCCTTTTCTCTTGCTGCTAAAAGTCCTGATTTGGTTTAGGTATCAGAAGGCCAAAAAGTGCTCAGGAAAGGTAGATACCTCCCTTGCTCCCTGTGGCTGTATCATAATTGGTACAAATTAATCCTGGTCATTCCATTCTTCTTACTGTCAACGATTAGGGTAAACATAGGACTCTGTTTTGGCTAATAATATAAAAAGGGAAGACTGGTAAAAGGCTCTGGGAAAGATTTTACTCCTTGATAATAAAGGAGACAATCTGAGAAGAGAAGCCCTCCTTTTCTGTCATGGAAGGTGTTGTGAGAGGATGTTTACAGCTTTTACTGCCTTCTCAGACCCAGCAGCAAATCCAAGAGGATGAAAGAGAAGCAAATACAGCACCCAGCTGCTTATTTAACCACACTGAACCAGCCTTCTTCCTTAGTGTTTTGTGAAACAATACATGTAAAATAGTAATAATAATAGTATTTGCCTCACTAACCTGCTTGAAGTTTTAAAAGTATATTTTCTTTTTTTATTTTTGAGTTGGAGTCTCACTCTGTCGCCCAGACTGGAGTGCAGTGGCCGCTCCTGGCCACCGCAGCCTTGACCTGCTGGGCTCCGGTGATCCTTCCGCCTCAGCCTTCCAAGTAGCTGGAACTACAGGCACGTGCCACTACGCCCGGCTAATTTTTTGATTTATTGTAGAGATGAGATCTCGCCAAGTTGCCCATGAGGGTCTCGAACCCGTGGGCTCAGGCAATCCACTCATCTCAGCCTCCCAAAGGCACGGAATTACAGGCTGAGCCACCGAGCCTGGCTTAAAAAGTATATTTTACAATTTCAAATTGAAAGCATCCCAATTGATACATCTTTTCATGTCATTAAGAGTACTCGGTAGGCTGGGCGTGGTGGCTCACATCTATAATTGCAGCTCTTTGGGAGGCAAAGGCGAGAGGATTGCCTGCGCTCAGGGGTTTGAGACCTACCTGAGCAACATGGTGAGACCTTGTCTCTACAATAAATAAAAAAATTAGCCGGGTGTGGTGGCGCATGCCTGTAGTTTCAGCTACTTGGAAGGCTGAAGCAGAAGATCGCCAGAGCCCAGCAGGCCGAGGCTGTGGTGGCCATGAGGATACCACTGCTCTCTAGCCTAGGTGACAGAGTGAGACTCCAACTCAAAAGAAAAAGCACTCTGTAACCACAATTTTACATGTACTATTATTTCTACAAATAAATAACTATATATGAACGAACTATTATTTAACTGAAACAAACCTGCTAGAGTAATAGACCAAAAAATAAATGTAATTGTTGCTTTACATTTGTTGTGTTATTTGAATAGTGAGGTTTAGCGTCTTCTAAACATTTATTTTCCAGCTATCCATTTGAATTTTTTTTAGTAGGAGCACATCTGTAAAACCAAGCTGCGCTTAACTGTTATATTTCCCCTAGATACTCTAGCCATTATAAGCTTTCAAAACTATGCTTTCACAATAACAAACCATAAAAGTCAAGTGAACCATGGTCCTAAATTAGCAACAAACTTTTCTTTAGCATATGCTAGGGGTTACTAGACACTCATGGTAAGTCTTATGATGCTATAGCATTGCCTAATTTTAAATAAACATTTGAAAACTCTGAAGCAGTATTTAACTCTTCTTATTCTCGATGTGCCCAGGCTTGACAATACAGGCACATGGCGCTTGCTTCAGAACCTTTGGAACCCAGGAGATTTAGAAGAGAATTTTGCTGTCTCTCACAGAAACCACAGAATCTCTGCAACCATCTGGGACTCACTTTGTTTCAAGACAAAGATCCTCTTGGTAGGTTTTTATAGTCTCATTTTCAACTAAAAGGCCTGTTAAATAGGCTTTCAAATTTGATAAAAAGAAAATTCTTAAAAGTTGCCAGGGAGGGAAGGCCACTTAGATGAAGGGAAATCCAAAATGGCCACTTAACGGCATGGTGCCCTTTCAGGGTTGCTCCTGTGCAGGCTTCAGGAGAGCTATGTCTGCTTTTCTTCAAAGTGGCAAAACTTACAGGACCTTTATTTTGAAAATTATGACTGGAATTTCAAGATTAATTTATCAGTTGAAGACAGCTACTTAATTTTTTAAAATGTAGGGTTTCTCTTTAATATACATTTCCAGGTTTCACACTAATTCCCCTCCTTCCACAAAGCCACAAAGATGTGTATGGAAGATTTCCACATATGATTTTACTTAGCAGGTTTCAGAACTCTTATTAGATCAGTGCCAAGGAGAATACTGATATTAAAGAATAACTCCAGAGCACCAGATGCACTGGAAAATGATATCTTAACCATGATTAAAAATATATGTATGAGAATACAACTATACTTATGTATGTACATACATTTGAGTTTCTAGAGTGATAAAGGTTTCCTCAACAAAGGGATGAGAAATATGGATGCAAATATGTGTACATGAATATGTACAACGTACAAAGTTCCTGAGAAATTTTCTATGTGGTCAATTTTCATTCAGTTGGGGGAATGAAAGGGGTATAGGAAAAGCAGAGTGCAGATAATCCAACATTCATGTTTAGCAAACTCCATTGTCCAGGGGCATGTTAATATGGTTAAGGTACATCAGGGATCTGCATACACTCAGCTCCTCAGAAAGGCCTTGGTAATTAGGCAGCTGTGGTTTATTGCAAATTTCCAGGCCCAGGTGGGGTAGAAGGAAAGAAGCCAAGATGTGAGGGAGTCGAGAATCCACAAAACTCTTCTGAAGCTTGGTTCCTTTCTTCCTTTCTAACCTCGCCAATTGAGGAAATCCTGTCTCTGATGTACTTTAATTAGAGCTAATCTGGATGCTAGATAAACTACTCTCACAAGAGAAATTTAAACTCAACTGAAGAAGACATTTAAAACTTTTGCTTGTGTTTACGTGTATATCTATAAGTGGTGGAGAGGGCAGGGGTGGGGAGAGAAGTAAAACAGAATTTTTTAGAAATGTATTTTTTAGAAATGTATTTTTTAGAAATGTATTGACCAACATTTTGGTTATTTGGTATACTGCTGCAATGTGTCATATCTGTGCAGGCACATTGTATATATTAATCTATTCCTGAAATTTAACATCATTCCTTATGATACATAGTATTTATATAAGAATGACGCTACTGTAGTAACACAAAAAAGTCCAACTAGTGTTACTCAAGCCTGAGAACCTTTCAGGATGATAATTGTAACTAAAGTGTACTGGGCTATGGCAGTGGGACAGGCATGTTGTAAGCACTTTTTTTAATTTAAAAATTTTTATTTTTATTTTAAAGATGTGGAGTACAATTCAGGATTAGGTATACAAGTGGTCATCATACAGGTAAAGTTTGGGCCTCCCTTTGGTCCCCACTTGGCCTGGTTTGAGATCAGGTACGCTTATTGATGTTTTGTGCCTCCCTCCCCTGGTAGTTTCTGGCTGCAGCCAATCCCTTTCTTATAGTATTATGGTAAATGCTCAGGGTCTGCTTATGAGTGAGTTGTAAGCACTTTATCCACACAAACTCGTTTAATCTTTGCACTAACTTCCTGAGGAAGGCACTATTACTATCCTCATTTTACTGGTGAGGAAAGTGATTCACAAAGAGATTAAATAACTTGCTGAAGCTCACACAACTAGCTAGGGTATAAAGTCAGGTTGCCTATGATCTTAACCACCAGGACACACCATTAAAACCATTTTGCTATGGAGAGACCCTGCTATTTCACTAATTGATAAATGTTCTAACAATCACATGCAAAGTAATTGAAACACCTGGGAAGGTTCAGACTGGGGTTGTGGTAGTCAAAGTATAATCCCTGGACCAATGGCATCAGTATCACCTGGAAACTAGTTAGAAATGCAAACTAAAGGCCACACCCAGTCTGAAATTCTGGGAGTAGAGCCCAGATATCTGTTTTAACAAGCCCTCCAGGGAATTCTGATACACACTCAAAGGAGAACTACTGGCCTAAAGAGATGGAAACTAAGGAGTAACATGCTGGCTCCCCTCATGTTTTGAAGAGCTGTAATGTAGAGGAGAGATGTTGTGAAGTCCTCACAAGTTGTTGTGTGCTTGTTGTAAATGCCTCACAGTTCTAGGGGATGGTAAAAGCTGGTGGAATGATGAAATATTTTGGTTCAAAATTAGGTAAAAACTTAGCTGGTGGTAGCCAACTAAGAAAGGGCTGCTGTGTGAGGGAAGAAGCCTCTCATTACCTGAACTATTCAAACAGATGTTGAATGACCATTTCTCAGACATGGTAGTGAATGGGAAGGTAGATAAGGTATTCTTGAAACCATGAGTGACAAAATTGGAAAAACCAGTATATATTTATTGGGCAGATATTCACTGAGAGCAAATTCATGTAAGAGAGTTCTGAGGGCAGATGGGAGGTAGTGACACTTCTTATTTTTTGACTCAAAGCTCACACCAGGAGCCTGGTCCCCTCATGAGTCCTTCAGTAAGACTCACCTGTCCCGTAGTTTGTTTATGATGTACTGTCTACTGGGAATGCTCTCTCTTAATCCAAATTCTACATATTTTCCAAAGCCCTTCATACTTACTGTCACTTGTATACAATGTTGGGTTTATATAAATTTGCACTTTAAGGGCAAAGATTGTGCCACATACTTGGTGTCTTCCATTTTACCCTGTTCCACTGTGGGCAATTAAAATAGATATTCTGAGGAACGATCAGTTATTTGGGGAAACTCTTCCATGCTCCTTTTCTGAGACTCCTGTGCTAGAGTTTTCTTTTCATTTCTTTGGCCCATAATAAGAATAACATCAATCCAGCTCCCTGATTAGGTGCAGACCAAGAATGTATATGGTATGGGTCCTACTGTTCATCTCACCAGTTGCTTCCTGCTTACTCCTTGGCATACAGCAATAGAATAGCCCCTACTGCTCAGCAGGGGAATCTCTCCTTTTCCAAGGACTGAGTGCTATTTCTATCATGTCCTCAGTTCACATAAGCTTTGGATAGACTGTTACAATCCAGATGCAGATGTATATGTTAAAACTCTTATGACAAATCCAGTTATTATGTGTGCAGTGCAGCCAGTTTTCAGATTTTAATACTTCCTTTTTTTCTTTCTATTCTTGTCATATGCTCCACGCTTGAAAAACATCTTTTGGAAACCACATTTTCACATCTTAAGAACACACAAAAAAAGTGTCAGATACTTTTTTTCCCTTTGCAGGCTTAGAACTTCAAAAACAGCCAAAAGGAAGTTTTATAAAATACGTAAAAATATGTGCTGAGAGCCGAGGTTTTATATGCCAAGAGTTAGGCTACAGTGAATTTTTACTGCAGTTAATATTAACTCCTAGGAAAAGAAAAGCTTACTGGAGACCCAGGCCCACTCTGTCAGGGGAGAGTATCCCAACACTTCCTCACAGATCATTCTCATGCAAGAGCCAACTCCTGGTTATCCACTGGCGGATTATCCAGAATCACCACCACCTTTGGTTCTTTTCCTTTTCAATAAAGGCCTTTTGGCTATTTCACAGCTCATTAGCACCTCCACCAGAAGGTAGGTGGTGACAGGGAGAAGAGGTGAAACTAAACTCAGTAAATTTTACTGCTCGTTAGCAGCTCTTGTAAAAGACCTGGGACAAGGGGTCTGAAGCCATCATCATCATCAGGATCATGGACAAGCTCGTATTAAGCGCTCACATGCATGGTAGTAGTAGTCTTCACTAGGCAGAACCACTGTGACTTTTAAAGAAAATTATTATTTATTTTCATTTCTTTAAGTTTCATCTCCATTACATCAGATAATTAAGAGTTGTCTGGGCCATAAACACAGTGAAACTTACCTGTTTTTGCACTCCATTGAGTTGCTGAACCTTGATGATGAGTGAAGCAGTTCGACCCTTGTACTGAATTGTTCTAATGAAAGTTCCGGAATGGTCCACACTGAAAGGCTCTGACCAACGCCAGTTGCCCCAACCTTCAATACAGATGTGTAACAGCTGGAGAGAAAAACAATAATCGTCATAATGCCAAACGTGCCAACAAAAATCTCGTCCTAAAATGAAAGTCTCATTGCTGGAAAACCTTTCTATTTGTAATATTTAGCATCTGTTTTCTTTCTAACCTGCATTATTCATCCACTTCCAGCTTATTCCACCAGGCTAAGAATAGCAAATATGCCACATAGAGTCAACATGGTTTTCCAGATCATATTTTAAACCTGTTTAAAAATAACTGTCCTATCGAATGGTGAAAAGCCTGCTGAACATTTGAGAAAAGACCATTCCATTCATCTGGAGGACAAGAAGGTTGAAATGTGAGATCAAAGAACCTTGGTCTTGGCTGATAGTTTATTCCTTCTTATGGCTAGACAGTAATTAAAGTTAAATCTGGTTTGTGGTATTTTTGACCCTAAATTGCTGTTACTTATTTTTTCTTTTGATAAAGGACAAAATAGCAATTTGAAGATGCAGTTTGTTTAATATACTCTCCTTATGAGATCACATACATACCAAATTAGAAATACTTTCAGCATTTTAAATGTAATAGAAAATATATTTGGTCTTTCTTTTTTTCACTATGTATTTATTGTAACTTTTACCAAATGAGTCTCCTGATATATACTTATATTTATTCATATAATATTTCCACTTTTGGTCATATTTGGGTTTGTTTTGTGGCTATTCAAATATGTCCTATTTCTATTCCTACTCAGTAACTGCAGCTAAGAAAATCAGTTTAACTACATGAGTATTAAAAAAAAACACATAATAATTAGTACTTCTTTAGGAAACAGGCTTAAATGAAAATAAACAATGTTCTATGATTTGTAAGTACAAGGAAAGAAAACAGACTTTTTATTTTTATTTTTATTTCATTGGTTTTAAGGGGTACAAATGATTTTTGATTACGTGGATGCCTTGTACAGTGTCGAGGAAGCCTGTGCTTTAAGTGTATTCTCTAGCCCCACCTGTGCATTCTGTACCTGACAGGTGATTTTTCATTGCATACCTCCCTCCCGCCTTCCCCTTTCTGAGTCTTTAATGTCCATCATGCCGGAAAATTGACGTTAAAAAATTATATGGGCCAGGCGCGGTGGCTTAGCCTATAATCCCAGTACTTTGGGAGCACTCAGGATCGCCTGAGCCCAAGGGTTCGAGACCAGCCTGGGCAACTTGGTGAGACCTCCCGTCTCTACAATAAATCACAAAAACTAGTTGGGTGTGGTGGCGTGTATCTGCAGTTTCAGCTACTTGGAAGCCTGAAGCTGAAGGATCACCTAAGCCCAGCAGGTCGAGGCTGTGGTGGCCGTGAGTGTGCCACTGCACTCCAATCTGGATATTTTTTACCAGTAAGCCAAACATTACAAATATTTAATTGATTATGGATGTGAGGAGAAGTGTTATAAATATTCTTCTCCCACTTAACTTTGGGACTCCAACTCAAAAAAAAATTAAATGATACACAATTTAAATTCTTCTCTCACATCGCATATAAATATTTTTAACAGAGCTAATCAAAGATGAATCTCACGAAACACTTCGAATTAACACACTGAATAAAACTTTGAAAAAACATCCTGTAAAAGCTATCATAATAGGCCCTTACAATAAATATACTGATTTACATGGGAATTGCCAAAATAATAAAATTCTTGAGCGAAGCAAATTATTTTTTAGTTTCAGCCCTAGAAGGAGCCCTGATAACATGCTTAAGCTTTAAAAGTTTTGATGAATGATTAAGGTGGGGCTTTAAAAATTTTTAAATATCTGAATAAAGTATTTTAAGAAAATCTCCTAATTCATCTCCCTGCTTTTAATATGGCCCCACTCCAGTTCTTGCTTCACACAACTGCCAGTGATCCTGTGAAATCAAAAGGCTACTGGTCAGGTGACTTCTAAAAAAGAAGGCTAACAGCTAAGAAAAAAAATCCTGGACAGCAAATAACTTTAGGGAAAATATGGTCTCATATATACTCTGCAACATAAAAGTACCAGGGTATCTTTGATGTTTAAATATTGGTTACAGGGAAAAAAGGAAAAACAATAGCAGTGTTTGGAACCATTTCAGTTTTTTATAGCAGCAACTGGGAATCAAGCTCAGGGCACACACAAAACTAAAAGAAACAAGAAAGTTGTTTTCTTTGGAGAGACTAGTAGCTGGAGATGACAAAAAAATAATGAGGCAAGGTACTTAAGGTCAACCTCAACTATATTTTTCCTGAACATTTCATAGACTCTAGAGAAAGTTTTAATATACAAAATGTAATTTTAAGTGAGGAGTGTTCATATTTGCATATTAACTCAGTTTTAGATAGTTGCTTACTCTATACACACAGCTTGTAAGGACTCAATGTCACCAAGGAATATGCTGTCAGGTTTTGCTTGGCAGGTATTTGTTCTTTGAATGTTGGCACAGATATTTTATTTGAATTATGAAAATTCAAATACATTTGGATTTAGTTCACAGAAAAGTTAAGTGGGAGAAAAACATTTATAACACTTCTCCCCACATGCATCATCAATTAAATATTTGTAATGTTTGGCCTACTGTTAAAAAAATATCCAAATATCACTGGCAATTAGATGCATATAATTCATTAAGAAAAGAACTACACTCTTAAGAGTGAAATCTACAAAAACAATTCAGGAGACCCAAGTGCATGTTAGTCCTCCTTCCTATGGTGTAATTGCCACTGCCTGGTAACCTGTAGCATGAGATTTGACATGGGATGGCAGTGCTCAGATACCCACAGACACCAAGCCAGGCTGGGAAGCTTTGTTCTTGCTGGATCCACTGACTAACCTTCACTGTAACAGGTGCTGAAAGTCTCCATTTAGTAACAAATTCCTGTATATTTTTATTTCTATACAGAAGGAAGTATGAAATCAGGCACAAAAAAGTGAGATGTGCATTGGACTACCTGATTTTAATGAGATTTCTTTATAGCATTCATCCAATGCATTTTTATTATTCAGGTACTATAAGGAAGGCAATGTGCTAGACATAATAGAGGAAAATGGGAGGAAGAGATGTGTTCTTTGCCTCACAAAGAGGTTATTATAATCTTACAGGGAAATTAAGGAAAGAGCAAATATCTAATATGAAAGCAGGAGATGTAAAAAGTGCTACAATAGTCCAGATAAGGGAAGGTCTGCCTCAGGGTGCTGTGATTAAGAGTACATCAGGATTTAATTTGCGTTTCTCTGGTGACTGGTGATGATGAGCATTATTAATATATGTTTTTTTGCTACTTGTATGTCTTCTTTTGATAAATGTCTGTTCATGTCTTTTATCCAACTTAAAAAAAACTTTATTTATTATAAAGATGTGAGGTACAATTAAGGGTTAGGTATATAAACACCAATCATGCAGGCACCCTTGTTGATGAGGTATGCCCCTCCCTCCCCTTATCCACTTTTTAATGGAGTTATTATTATTGTTTTTTTAGTTGAGGGGTTTTGCTTTTTTGCCCAGGCTAGAGCTGAGTGGCACAGTCATGGCTTACTGCAGCCACCAACTCCAGGGCTCAAGTGATTCCCCTGCCTTAGCCTCCCGAGTAGCAGGGACTATAGGTCCATGACCCAATGCTGGCTATTTTTAAAAATTTTTTGTGGAGAGGAGGTCTCACTATGTTGCCTAGACTGGTCTCAAACTCACAGGCTCAGGCAATCTTTCTCCTTTGGCCTCCCAAAGTGCTGGGATTACAGGTGTGAGCTACTGCGCCCAGGATGGTCTTTTTCTTGTTGAATTTTGAGCAATGACGTGGAAAAAAGGGAATGCTTATACACTGTTGGTGGGAAAGTAAATTAGTATAACCGCTATGGAAAACAGTATGGTGATTTCTCAAAGACCTAAAAATAAACTACCATTTGTCCTAGCAATTCCATTACTGGGTATCTGCCCAAAGGAAAAGAAATCATTATATCAAAAACATATCTTGCATGGATCTGTTTATTCACTATTCACAGTAGCAAAGTCATGGAATCAGCCTCAATGTCCATCAACAGATGAATGAATAAAGAAAATGGACACACACACACACACACACACACACACACACACACACACACACGTGTATATACACATGCACCACGGAATACTACACAGTCATAAAAAATAATGAGATTATGCCTTTTGCAGAAATGTGGATGGAGCTGGAGGCCATTATCCTTAGTGAACTCACTCAGAAACAGAAAATCTGATACCACATGTTCTCATTTTTAAGTGGGAGCTAAATGGTGGGTACACATGGCCATACAGAAGGAAATAAAAGACACTGGGAACTTCAAAAAGGGGAAGGATGGAAGAGTGAGAATTGAAAATTATCTCTTGGGTATAATGTTCACTATTAGGAAGAGGGGTATACTAGAAGGCCAAACCCCACTATTATGTAACATATCCCTGTAACAAACCAGCACATGCATCTCCTGAATCAATTAAAAATAATACAATATAATAAAAAAATAAAAATAAGGAAAACTTCAGGAAGCAGCTGGGCCTCAGAGTTTGGGTAGAATTCCAACTGGCAAAGATGACAGTTCATTCCCAGGCCAAAAATACGGCTTAGGGCAAAGTTGATAGTCTCAACTGGCCAGAGAAAAAGGAACATGAAAAAAAGGGGGACAAGGTCAGACAGGTAGGTTGATCTAGATTGTGGCCAGTGATTCACTAAACTAAGGAATTTGCACCATACTCAGGAATTGGTGGGTGATCACTGATGCTTTCCATATAGGTAAGCAACATGCTGGCAGAAGAGTGAGGGTGGTGTGGAGATGCAGGAAACTGAGATGAGAGGCAATGTGGGCCAGATATATGGGGGAGGGGAAAGCAATGGGCTTTATAAAACAATCACCAACCTTTTTATGGGCAGCCCAAGGCATTTTTTTGTTCTCTTATCAATTTGGAAATTTCCTTTCACCTCTTTTCTATTAAGAGTTTTCCTGACTGACTCACTTCCTCCACCATCTTTCCATCTATTCAGACTTTTCATTCTTTT